TTTTTTTTTGTCTTTTCGATCTTCTATCATAAAGAAACAGAAGAAAATCGTTCTTAAAGTTATCTCTGACCTTGCCCAACAAGATCTCTGAGATCTTATTTGGCAATATTCTTCCTGGTTGCGGTGTAGAAGAAAATCGTCCTGAAAGTTATCCCTGATCATGCCCAGCAGAACCTTCAGGATCTTCTTTTGTGAACTTTTTTTGGTTGTAGTGCAGCAGAATGTCTTCATGAAAGTTTTCCCCAACCCTGTCTAGTAGAACCTCTGGGATCTTTTTTCGTGATTTTTTTTCTGGTTGCGATGCAGAAGAAAGTCATCCTGAAAGTTATCTCTGACCCTGCCAAGCAGGACCTCTGAGATCTTTTTTCGCGATCTTCTTACTAAGTTAAGGAAAATTGTCCATGTTCCTGCCTAGCAGAAGATCTAGGATATTCTTTCACGTCACCAAGATGAAGAATGTTGTCTCTGTCCCTGCCTGACAGGTGACCTAAGATATTCTTTCACGTTGTCAAGATGAAGAAATTTGTCTTGGTCCCTACCCAGCAGGCGACCCAAAATATTTTTTCACGTTGTCGAGATGAAAAAAGTTGTCACCATCCTTGCCCAGTAGGCGACCCAAGATCTTCTTTCATGTTGTTGTCACTCATTCCGGTGGAGATTCTGTATGGTTGTCGTGCATTCTGGAGGAGATGAAGAAGCCAGAGTTTTTCGCATCGCGTTTTTTGGGAGAGGTTTATGTGCTTCAATGAAGGTGATATTTAGAGAATCTAATCCCCTTGTAGATCAGCATAAGTATCAAAATTTTGAGGAGGCGATATGCTACCATTTGAAGATTACTGACCTCTTATAGCTTTTTTATAAGTGTTTGTTGGTCATTATGACTTTTTAATCATATTACGTGGCATGTATAGATGATGGTAATATATTTCTTTGTGTGTCTTTGAAGTCTTTTCAGAGTTTGCTTTTGTCTTTCCTTACCAGCTGTGGTTACTCAATTTTTAGGATAATGTACCCCAACATATGGGTCATTGTTGTCATACCCAGGGGCACATATTGACGTCAACCTCTAGGCTTCTTCCTTCTGAGATTCTTTGGCTTTTCAAACATGTGGAAGTTTGTAATCAAAGTTAGCAGATGCACTTTAAGTAAAAAAAATTGCGTACCATTTGAGGCTAGTGCCTTCTGAGGTTTGTACTTTCTTAGGCTTGTATCTTTTGAGGCTTGTGCCTTCTTAGGCTTAT